GGAACAATTTAAAGCAGAGGTAATTCTATCAGTAGATAATAAATTAAAAGGAAATTGAGGTAGGTATAAAACAGAAGAGAAAGTTAGACGAGGGGTAGTAACTGTGCCAACCCCTTGAACTGGAGATTTAGAACCATTAGCAATTGAAACAAAGGAAGGAGAGGGAGTACTTTGAAAGATTAGAAAGAACAGAGGGATTACCAGTCATATGATCAGAGGCTCCAAAATCAATAATCCATGGCTGATTGGATGAGGAATGGAGGCAAGGGTCACCTGAAGCACCCAAGGTGGCGGTTGAGGTAGATGAAACATAAGTGTGCGCCATCAGTGAGTCATACTCTGCTTTGGAAAGAGCTACAGTCTCTTCATCAACAGGAGTGGAGATCTCCCCCCTCAACAGTAGCACGATTAGCCCATGTGGGCTTGACATGGAGTTTCCAACATTTGTCCACAGTATGGTTGGTGCAATTACAATGAGTACATTTCTTGAGGCCACTGCGACCACCTTGAAAATTTCGACCTTTATTCGAAACATGTCCCCCACGACCATTATGGAAATTATTAGAGCGCCCAATGGGAGCTGCAAGGGCAGAGCGATTGGCTTTCTCTGGAGTAGATAGGTTGGCCCGCCGAACACGATTATAGGCCTCACTAGCAGGTAGCAAAAGTGTACCAGCGAGAATCTAAGAACTAACAGGAGCAAATTCGGGTCGAAGTCCAAAAAGAAATTTTGCGACGCGAAATTCTTCCCTGTATCGTTTTTGAGTCTCCATATCAGTAGGCAATGGCTGATACACATTCAATTCCTCCCACATACCTTTCAAGGTGGAGTAGTAATCTTCAATATAGCGATCTCCTTGTATAGTGGAAAAAAGATCCTTATAAAGCTGATGAATCCTAAAGATGTTATGCTCAAACGAATACATCTCCTTCAGGGCATCCCAAATCTCTTTAGAGGTTTCAAGAAAAGAGACATTGTTGAAGACCTCGGGCTCCATACTGTTCCATAACCAGGTCATAATTTGGGCATCTTCTTGTTCCCAAGCATCAACCAATTTGGCATCAGTAGGTTTGGTTGACTTAAGATAAGAGAACTTCCCTCGAGCTTTCAAAGCAACTTGGACGGCTCGGGCCCATTGAAGGTAATTGGGACCCTTGAGTTTGATATTGGTCATGGAACCAAACAACAGAGAATCTTTAGCATCTGTTTTGTCACCCATGGAGACCAAGCAAGAACGAGATGAGATCCGAGTAAGAATAGGATCCAAGCAAGGAGATTAGCAAGAGGATTCTTTCCAAGCAAGGCTATGCTATGACGAAACTGTAACCTTTTTATTTTTATTTTTTTAACGTAATAAAACAAATAATAGATAAGAAACTATTTACATAAGAAAATGTAAAACTAAATAGAACTCTAGCAGGAAAAAAAAATAACAAACTAGAATTCTTAGAAGGCACCAAACTTCTGATGTGAGAACAATAGAGAGAAATGGTGGAGATTGGGTGAAAAAGAAGAAGACGGGAGTTGGGTCTCAGGAACATTTTTGCTCTGATACCATGTTGTAAATAAGAGCAAGAAAATAGAAGAGAAGATTTCTTGTACGTAACTTAGATGTGAGTACATGTGGGTTTATCTAGGAACCCAAGACATACACTCAGTACATTAATTTAGCCAATTACCAGAAATTAAGCTAATCAAAATCCTATAATCAAGCTAGCAGATTTTATGCATCAGAATATTCCTATAATCAAGCTAGCAGATTACATGTAGCACAATGTCAGCTTTCCTAATTAATTACAGGCTGTAAACAGCCCATATTCATGACAACAGTAGAGGGCATACGGTTAATGAGATAACAAGCAGTAAGAATGGCATCAGCCCAAAAATGTTTTGGCACTTGCATATTGAATATCAAAGTATGAGCAACATCTAACAGGTGGCGATGCTTTCGCTCAGCAACACCATTTTGTTGAGAAGTGTGAGCGCACAGCTAGTCTGATGAATGATACCACGATCAGCACAAAAGGAATCCATGATAGACTGTGTATACTTTTAAGGCACTATCAGATCGAAATTTTTTAATGCGCTTACCAAACTGAGTAAGAATTTCATTGTAAAATTTAGCAACAATACGAAGTTGATGCTTTCGCTCAGCAACACCATTCTGTTGAGAAGTGTGAGCACAACTGGTCTGATGAATGATACCACGATCAGCACAAAAGGAATCCATGATAGACTGTGTATACTAGGCATTATCAGATCGAAATTTTTTAATGCGCTTACCAAACTGAGTAAGAATTTCATTGTAAAATTTAGCAACAATACGAGGTAACTCAGATCTCTCTTTCATTAAAAATAACCATGTCATTCGAGAATAATCATCAACGAATATAACAAAATAAAGGAATCCATTCAAACTGGCAGTTCTAGAAGGACCCTAGATGTCCATGTGGACTAAATCAAAGGACTCGGCCTCACTTCTATGACTACAACTCGGGAAAGAACTACGATGATGCTTACCCAACTGACAAGCTTCACACTCTAGAGCAGAGATATGACTCAATGTAGGAATAGCTAATCGTAACTTTGCTAAAGATGGATGACCCAAACGAAAGTGCCACTGAAGAGGAGAGACTGTACCACTCAAAGCTGATGACAAGACAGGCTGGGGTTTACCAGAGTCAAGATAATATAACCCATCTTTCTCATGTCCTGAACCAATCACCTTTGTCCTAAGGTCTTGAAAGACACATGAAGTGGGAGAAAAAGTTATGGAACAGTTTAATGTTTTAGTCAATTGACTGACAGAAAGTAAATTAATAAGGAAAATTAGGAACATAAAGATTCGAGGATAGTGATAACGAATCGGAAGGGTGAAGGAAGCCTTTTCCAATGACAGATTGAGAAGAACCGTCAGCTAAAACAATGTGATGATTGATAGGATTTAAATCAGAGAAAAGAGATGATGTGCCCGACATATGTGAGCTAGCTCCAGAGTCAATGACCCAGGATGGAGAGGATTTAGCCTTACATGCAATATTACCTGACTTAGCCAAGGGAGCAGTGGTAGTAGTGGAAGTGGGTGAACGAGTAGTTTACAAAGTCTGAAAAAGCTTGCGAAGTTGTGTAATAAGTGCATCATGAGAACCAAAATCAGAAGCTACATGTCCTGAAAAATAAGGCTGCAATGGTTTACACTTCCTGTCATGTCGTCCACTAGGATGGCCACCACCACGGGAACCAGCCCAAAAATAAAATTGTTGTTTATGGTCGGCCGTGAACAAAATTTGGACAAAAAAATGGGATAAATCAGAATTCCAAAGTCAAAAAATTGCAGGTCCAAGTCCAAATTGTCACAATTATAGGCCCAGTATGTTGTAAGCAATTGTGAACCAGATTAAAAACCTGCTGGCTTAGCAAAAGTACTGGTCCAGAATCAAATCAAAAGCCAACAATGAAGCTGAATTGCAATTCCATAGAAGAAATCTCAGAAGTAAAGGAAAACAGTGTATATTCGATTTCGGAACCACGGAAGACCTGTTCGACTGACCCTTAGAGTCACATAAATTGTTCCAGATTCAATACATAATCCAAGAATCAACAACTAAAGTCTTTCCAAGCCCAAACACATCAAATAAGATGAAGCTTCACATGACCAATAGCAAAATCCCTATGAGCAGTGCTGGAAAAACAAACACCACCATTTGGTTCTTGGCCTGTAAGTGCTGACGTCAAACAACCTCTGAATGGAGAACAAACACCACCATAATTATCAGAAAATTCAGGCGAGCCACCCCAAATGGTTCTCGTCCTGTAAGTGCTGACATCAGTATGACATCATGCTGACATCAGCGTGTGCACTCTGACAGTCAATCTGATGATTTACTGAAACTCTCTTTGGATGGATTCACAGCCTTGCTCTGATACCAAGTTAAATTGGATAACAGTGTGTTTTAGGGTTAGAGAGGAGGAGGAGGAGGAGAAGAAGAGAGAATCTGGTGTGTGTACGGTTCTACACACCACCTGTCCTATTTATATTAAGTAAGCAAAATTACAATAATGTCTTTAATAATCAAAATAAACTCTAACATCCACGATGAGAAACCTTCCTCCTTACTATGACTCCACACCAACATCACAGATCTAATTCCACTTTGCCTTCTCCACAGCAGCTGATCAGATGACTCATCTACGAAGCTTTCTCTAAACACCTACACATCAGCCCAAGTTTCCTCCAACAAGGAAAATTGACCGAGTTCTCCCTCATCCAATCTCTATCAAATCAGCTAATACAGATATTTAGAAACAAGACGCACCTCTATCAAATAAGAAGCTCTCAAACCGACCTGGAAAATATCTAGTTCCACTTTGTTAATAGATTTCTCTGTTTAGCTAGTTTCAAGTCTGTGGCATGAATGAGTTGGTAACTTGAATTAGGCTCAAAGTGAAAACATCTAGCAAAAGTGTTTTTTGGTAGGAGTCACACATTGGCCAAGTCTATTTACTTATCTAGAAGAATGCGTTACGTAAAGAGATATGAGCACTTATATCAATTGAGTATATTTAAATAAATGAAGTCACACGAATGACAACAAATAGATTAATGTGTTTCTAAGAGCTTATATACAAAAAAAAAAAAAAAATGAGAATGAATTCATTCTAACAACTTACATTAGATTTGTGCTTTTGATTACTTATTTTCAATAGTAATGCACTCTGAAGCCTATCATTTTTATTTATTTTTTGCATCAGTAAGGAAAAAAACAAGCCTACCGATGAAAAAGTCTTCTTTTTATATTTAATCATTTATTGGCTCAGAGGCTGAACTGTTGACTTAACCATGTCTTGACTTACTAAAAAATCATAAACATATAAATGCTACCAACTAAACCTGTTTTAAAAAAAAAAAAAGGCATTTTAGGTGAAAAGAACACGCATGAAAGGGACAAATTGTTGGGAGGGAAGGAGGGAGAAAGAGACTAATTCAAGAACATATTACCAATTCCAACTATTACTGGAAGACCTTTATTCTCCAACAAAGCCTGAAAAGAAAAGAAGAGAAAAAAAAATATTGTGCTTTACGTTTGGACAAAAAACTAATAGAATCTTTAGAGTTGAGGTCCCGCAGTGGTTACCTCCAAAATACTATCCTGACAATTAATCTAATAATGCTTACCTGTATTTTTTTTTTTGATAAATACTTACCTGTATTGCTTGAACAGAAAGAAGCAATCCTCTATCCAGGTCATATGAATCAGGCATTGGAGCAAGCTGCAGGGTAGCCCTGAAAGAAGAAGGATCTGTGGTTGTTTCATGAGAGGAGTTGAGACATGAAGCATTGATACACTTCCAAGGAAAAAGTTTTAAAAAATTACTACAAAGAAAATTTGCTTTCTCCTCATCAAAGAAACATACCAATGACAGAGTCATCACCAAGTGGGGGATCCGATGAGACGAAATGCCAAGTTGCCAGTACAGGTTCCATTTTGGATTTTGTCGGGGATCGAGTCCATGGCTGAGATAAATCCTCAAGCCGGTTAACAACGTTAGGAGTAATACGAACTGGCTTTGGTGCAGCAATCAACCTTTCTTGATTATCAGTCAAAGATGTTTTAGACAAAGGTGGCGTATTAAGGCGAGGTACACCTGGAAATAAAATTAATTAATTAGAAAGAGGAAAGAGGAATAATTGATATTTGAATTAAAACCAAAAAATACATGTGGACTATAGTCAGTCACAGAGATGATAACTAAAAGACATCCACTACCAACCTTTTCTCTCGAGGATCATTTCAAGGTATGATTTAGTGATCCATGGTCCATTGATACCCATCCTAGAAGCTTCTTCTCCAACTGTCTATATGAAACAAATGTAACAAATACAGAAAGTGAGTTCCGGGACAAAAAATTCCTGGTTATAAGCAAAATTACACTTGTTCAAACTTATCGACAATATCTTATACTGTTCAGAACCAAAAACACACTTCAAAATCTATAGTTTGCAAAAATTAAGGGCAATGATATACTGCTATTAGCCATAAACAACAAAAACATGATGAGAATCATGAGAGGAAACTATGTCTTGTAGGTTCCAGAACTAAACCAAATCATGAAGCCCGTTAACAAGACTAAATAAGAGAATGCACAAGGTAAATGCATCAACTACAAGTTAATCCTACAAATAGGTAATGATGTAATAAGTGTTGACAACTTTAGAAATTTGCCAGCACATGCTGGCAATCCGAGTTCTTTTCATGACCTGGCCAGAGGACTTCAAAATTTTATAACTTGGTTCTTCTTGGTATTCAGCCATCTGTATCTGCTTTCAACTATTTACGTCATTGATTCTATTGTAGTACATATGTGAATTTCCGATGTTTGGGAGATTTAAAACTTAATAATGAACGAAATTGGAACATCTGAGGGAATAGAGAGTAAACTATTCTGCAGAAACAAAAGGGATGGAGAATTAAAGTAACATCATTAAAAGTAAAACTGCAAGGTTGAGAGCCTATACTACAGTGTATGAAATTAAAGAGGACAAGGGTAGAGAGAGAGATAAGGCAGAGGAAATTATACTACCGGAATTAAGGTAAGAAGAGAGTAAAGGTAAAAAAAAAAAAAAATGGAGAGGAAGGAAAGGGAGAAAGAGATGCTGCAACTACATTACTCTAAAGTGGCCATGAAAGCGCAGGGTGAAGGGACTACAAGAGGGAGTTTCAATGGCTTGGCCCCGAACTCCTAATAAGGAGGCTTTATCTTAAACTTATAAGGGCTGGAGAGGATTTTTTTCCTCCTCTGGCTACAAGTGGCTCCTCCTCTTCTCGAAAAGGCATGGTTCAAGCAAGACCATTTAACCACATAACCATGGTCTTCCTTCTCTTTCGATGACAAGCTCTCTTCCCGGTCCCACAAGCATTGACTTAGAAGAAATATAGAAAGAAGGAGAGAATTGTGTAAAGGCTTGAATGAGATGATTCACTCATTCACAGCTCTAGTATTTATACATAAAAAGAGCACATGCTCATATTACAAGAAAGGAAACTAAATCAAATCTAAATCAAATCACAGCATATTCTAAAGCATATTCTATGGTATATTCTACAGCATAATCAAATCTATGCTAATATGGTAAGTCATTCCATAAATCGTGGCTTTCATATCTGCTAACAGTCTTCAATCAATTCAAAGCATGGTCGGTGTGGGTATATAAATGTACATATTTCAAGCATGGCTGGTATTTGTATATAAATATATGCACATATTCCAAGAATGGTCATAGCAATCCCACAAATTATGGTATCAGGTTGCCAAACAGGCCATATAGCAATCATAGTTAGCAATCTGTGTCCTTTTTTGGAACCCATTCATGCCAAATACTTGGGCTATATTTGGGTACAAACAATAAGAATTTTTTATAATAACACATAAGGTTATATCTAAAGTCTGTCTGTCCCTCCTGGCATCCTCCGTTAACGGGGATCTAATCTGGGTAATGGCCTTTAAGAATATACAGAATAACTTGGTAATTGCATACAGTTCATAACTTACAACAAGAATAAATTACAAAGCGCCACAACCTCATAAAGCATGTAATAAGGAGGCCAGGATCCTTTTAAAATGAAGACAAGTGAGAAAATCATAGTCTAACCAAGACTCGTGCTTCCAAATTGAAAATAATATATATGGATTCGCACTCAATTTAGGAATAGTTAGTGGTCAAGATGCTTAGGAAACAAAAGAGGGCAGTACTAGGCCAATAGAACTTCTAGCAACTTTCATACAAAATGAAGTCTAATATCAAGTTTTTGTTTGCGTTTTTTAAAATTAGTTAAATAGTTGAGTTATCTCTGTGCAAGGGCATAACGGAGAATCTAAAACTTCAACAAGGTATAAAGGTAATTTAACTCATAATTTGTGCACTCACCAAACTTAGGGTTCACATGCATGCAGATGATATCATTTAACATACTAGGCTTACAGTTTGCATGTGTTGACTCGTGGGGGTGACCCAAAAAGAACGCAAGTTTAGGAAACCCCGTGAATTTCGCCTAACAGACCATTTTCCCTAATAAGACCATCATGAAATAGAATCTTTAAAAATGTGTTCTATTTTTCATTAAATTGTTTTTGAATCAGAAATCCTAAATATACTAGAACAGGGTAGTTCAATCAATCCAATTATATATCAAAGCTAACTAGACTAAGTTCGATCGATCGAACCTATCTCCAATCACCCAAAGCATGCGGGAAGGAGTTTCCAAGAAGATTTCAAACACTTAGACTCTCATTCTTCTCTGCCTCAAATCTCTATATAAAGATCCTATATTTTCATAAAAGCCTATAAAGCATATATTGAGCGTCATACGCAAAGAAACACAATTTGAGTGCATCCTAGCAATTCAATTGCTAGATATTTGTTTATTTTCATACATCGTTTTTGTTTATAGATGGTGACTGACTTTGAGTATGAATGTACAAATCCTAAAGCTAAAAGGAATTCCAACAACTCAAAAAAATTCCACAATCATCAAGGTTTGGACAAGTAGTCAAGGAGATCAAAACACAGATAAAAGGGTGGGATCGCGCAAGGAGCGGAATCATTGACGGGTTGCAACAATCTGGCGTGAGTTAGGGTTAGAGATAGTGATTCTAGAATTAGAATCTGATACCTAGGGTTCTAAACATTTCTATTGATAGGATCTGATCTGTCTGGACTAAGTCCTATGATTCTATGCTTTTTATTCTGCACTATGCCTATTTCTATTGCTTAAGTTCGTTATAATATGAGTTTTAGTTATTTAAGTTAGTATAAATTTCTGTTGAGATGGAAATCTTTATTTTGACACCTATTAAACCCCCTCTAGGTCTACTTCAAGCCTTAGCGTACTCTGACTATCAAAGCCTAAGGTAACAATCCAATCCCCCAGAAAGACAAATAAACATGTTTGGCCATGTGCAACTAAAACTATTAACCAAAACACCAATGAGAAAGAGAGACAAGGTCAATGGAGCAAATACAAGTTGAAAAGAACATGAAGGTTGAGAAGCGAGGTGGGAAGGAAAGATATGATGCCCTAGATATAGGGAAATGCCAAAACACCAACCACTTAGCGATGTAAGAATAATTTTAGACAAACACAACCATCTTCCCATTTGTAGCTCTTTTGGCTTTCTATACAACTCCACCCACAAAACAAATGAAAGTGAAAATACAACTTTGTTGACACACCAAAAGATAGACATGAGATGTATTCTAATACTAAATTAATTTATACTCACAGTAAAAATCATAGTTTTTCCACATCTCAGAATGAGATTTCTGTGGATTTAACACCATATACAATTTCTAACCCAATAACCTTTAGGCTGCTTTACCTTAGAGCTTTCTGCGAACGCACAGAACAGCAAAATGACGGAACAGCTAAATGTGAAACCATTCTCTTTTCATATGAACAAAAAAAAAAAAAAAAAAAAAAAAACAAAATATAATTGGAATTGGTCCACATAATTTTTTTTTTTTTTTTAAATAAATAAATAAAAAGGAAGAAGAAGAAATCTATGCATCGTCTGAGCATACGGATAAAAACAAACTAAACCTTCAACATGTACCACATTAGTATTAAATTATTAATCCTGAACAAAAAGGTTTAAGATCAAACCAAATCTAAATAAATTTTCTAGCAGATCAAATGAGTTCATACTTTCCTATTTGCACCCCTCAGCACCATGTATGTCTCGCTAAGAGAATCGATAGTTTCCATTGATATTGATAGAATGCCATTGCCGACTGATGTAGATGCCCGTTTATAACTGACAACAACAGTGTAACCCAAAGCCAGCAATCCCCCCAGTGTCATCCGTCCAACCTGTTACAGTTGTAAAGAGGCAAAACAGGGTGAGAAGAAAACATCCATAATGTCCAACCTCACAAATACCTCAAGTAATAGTAATTGGAGACAGAATAAAGGTGCCAAAACATGACAAAAGGAAAGAAAACAACATTCAAGGCTACGCCACTTTGAACAAGCCCTTGCAAATAGTAGAAAAATCAATCCACCAACCTAGTTTGTCCCAACGAGTCCCAACTAGAAGTCCCTCAATGTTGTCAGAATCATTGATGAGTGTATTAGATCATTACCCAAGGCTCTAACACATCAGAGTGTGCGTGGTGAATTAGACCTAGGGGAGAGGTGAATATGCAACTAACTAACTAACTTTTCAAATTACCCTTGATCCTTATTCAAAATACAGTTAATAGTTTGATTATGTGTCTCAATTGCAATCATGTAAACAAATAAAGCAAAGACTCAACATCTTTTATATGTAAAGCTGTTAGCCGAGATATGATAGCCACAAATTATGGAATGACTTACCATATTAGCATATATGATAGCCACAAACCATGGAGTTTAACTTTATTTACCCATATGTCTCGCCATAGAATCTAACGTGATTTGATTTAATTTCCTTTCTTGTAATAATAACATGTGCTCTTTTTTATCTATAAGTACTAGAGCTGTGAATGAGCGATTTATCTCATTTCAACCTTTTACACTTCTATTCCCTTTATGTTGTATTTCTTCTTGGTGGTCTAACCGCGATGAGGGCGTTGCGAGTTCGGCACACCCTTTCAGGAATGATCTGAGGAGACCTTGTTGATGGCTTGTGGTCTGAGGAGACTTTTTTTATTCTTCCATCTACATAGTTTAATTATTTGTATGAAAAGAAATGGTCTGAGGAGACAGTAATGGTTGCTTATAGTCTGAGGAAACAATGTTAATGGTTTATGGTTTGAGGAGACACAAGTCAGATAAGACGTATCCACGGTGGTTTGGAGAAAACGCCATAATTATGTCTTGGCCAGTCAATTTAATGCAGCCAAACATAGTCATTGGCTCTATATCTATAAAGACTGCATTTGAGGATGCATTGCCCAAGTTAGGCATCTCAGATATCCAAGCACCAACTTGAGAGGGAGTGTTAACCGAGATATGATAGCCACAAATTATGGAATGATTTATCATATTAGCAGAGATATGATAGCCACAAACCATGTAGTTTAATTTTATTTACGTATATGTCTAGCCATAGAATGTGTTGTGATTTAATTTAATTTCCTTTCTTGTAATATTAACATGTACTCTTTTTATCTATAAATACTCGAGCTGTGAATGAGTAACTTATCTCATTTCAAGCCTTTACACCTCTATTCCCTTTATCTTGTATTTCTTCTAAAACCCAACAGGGAAAAACCACGAGACCTAATACAGGGAGATCAAAATTCACTAGATGAGAAAGAGGTCACATACTACTTGAATTGAGTTGCCTGATTTTTATAGGCATTATGCTGTAATTAGAAATCAGCCAAAAAGCTCCAGAAACAACAGATCGAAAAAACAGTCCCAAAATTCCGGAAATTGTTCGAGATTAGAGAAAGAAAAAAAAATGTGCACCTAAGCCCTCCAAGTATTGCTATGTAGTTTCATTGAAATCCAACTTCATTTTGATTGACTTTTGCTGATATTTGAATTGCAGCTGACCCTTTGGCTGCCGTTTTTTGCTTGTTTGGCTACTAGACGTGAAGAATGTATTTTCTACAGAGATCTTGAGGAGGAAGTTTATATGGAGATCTCACTACTGAAGGGAAGGTATGCAAATTAAAGAAGGCACTTTATGGCTTGAAGTAATCTCCAAGGGCATGGTTTGACCAATTTCACAAGGCCATGATCACGTTTGGGTGTAATCATTCCATGTCTATTAAGCAAGCTAAAGGGTGGGCTTATTGTGTATGTAGATGACATCATGGTGACTGGAGATGATAGTGAGGAAGTCACTTAGCCCAGGAGTTTGAGATTAAAGACTTGGGAAATTTACGGAATTTCCTTGGAATAGAGGTTGTAAGATAAGACAAGGGCATCTGTATCTCTCCAATTAAGTATATTCTTCACTTCTAGAAAAGACTGGCATGTTGGGTCGTAAACTAGCACACTCACCCTTTGAGATGAATCATCGTCTTCGAAATGGTGAGAGCGAACAAGATATCAGAAATTGGTTGGGTAACTTATTTATCTATCTCACACTCATCCAAATGTAGCATATTCAGTACGTGTTACTAGCCAATTTATACATGATCCTCACACCACGCATTTAGACCATGTATCATATTATGAGATATTTGAAGTCTGCACTTGGCAAAAGAATGTTTTTCTCTAATCATGGACATTTGAAGTTGGAGGCTTTTACAAATGCAGATTGGCAGATCGGTTGATGATAGACAGTCCACCTCAGGTTAGTGCACCTTTATAGGAGGGAATTTGGTTACTTGGAGGAGCAAGAAATGATCAGTAGTGACTAGGTCCATTATTGAAGCAGAATACAGGACTATGGCTCGTGGAGTATGTAAACTCACGTGGCTTCAGACCTTGATGAGTGATTTGGGTACTATAGATGATGGACATGTGCGACTTTATTGTGACAATAAAGCAGCCAATGGTATTGCGCATAACCCGGTCCAACATGATAGAACAAAACATGTTGAGATTGATACACTTGGGAAAAGTTAAATAATGGAGTGATTTGCATGCCCTGCGTGAAATCTGAGGAACAGCTAGCTAGCTGATGTGTTCACCAAGGGTTTGAGTTGTAATTCATTCTATTTTATTGTAGGCAAGTTGGGCATGAGAGATATCTATGCACCAACTTAAGGGGGGAGAGTTGGAATATGTGAGAATATACATGTACTGAGCGTATTTAGTGGGATTTTACCAAGTGGGGTATTATTGTAAATCTCATTTTTACTAATATAAATACATGGGTGCAGAGTGTTAGACACATTTCTACAACCCTTCTTTACATCCTTTTCTTTTCTTATTATCTCTCTTCTTTCTTCAAAATTTAAATCCTAATCATCATAAACCCAAATTTCAACTCTCTTTTTCTTTTTTTTTTTGTTAAGGTTGTATTAGAAAGCGTTCAAATGGGTAACACATCCCAAGAAAAGCTACACAAGGACCAAATAGGGCCATAAGAACCCAAAAAATCAGCTGACTCCCCTAATGATTTACAATTTCTCCCAATGACCCAACAAAAAAGAGTGAAAATAATAGAGAACTTTAGAGCCCAATAGAAGATTCCTCTCCGTCAAATGATCTTCTATTCCACTCCCTATAAGCACCACCAAACACAAAAGGGAGACACGCTCCCAAAGTGGGCTTGGGATCCCACTGTACACCCTCTCCAAGCGTCAATCAAGCCTCTTGAGGATTGAGGCATGACCCTTTGGACCCCGAACAAACCTGAGAGAAAACCTTAACCGTCCGGGCCACCGGGGCAATGCAACAGATGATCGACAAACTCTTCGTTTCTTGCACACGCAACACCAATTGACAATAAGATCGACAGACTCTTCGTTTCTTGCACACGCAACACTAATTGACAATAACCTATCTCCTCGTCCTCAGGTTATCCAACGTCAATATCTTCCCCAAAACCGTTGTCCAAGCAAAAAAGGCTACCTTGAGGGGAGCCTTGTTCGCCGGACAGCCTCATGCGGGAAGGCTGGCCACAAAGCATCCGAAATACACCTATACAGAGAGCAAACATCAAATCTCCCCTGAGAAGAGGGCACCCAGACAAGGGCAGCCGGACCACCTCCATCAATCTCCTATCAATACTTCAAAAAACCAAGAACGTCGTCCAACTCCCAGTCCTAGAAATGTCTCGAAAGGATACATCCCAAGTAGTGCTCCCGCTATCAAAATTAAAGACAAAGAGATTGAAGGATTGAGAAGGGCAAGAATAATGAGGGAAAAGAAGATAGAGAGGGTTCTCAAACTTATGATAAGATTTCAATAATCAAAAGCTGCCTTGCTTAGTTACATAGAAGCCTTTATATAAGCAAAATCATAACCAAACCCTAAAATAATAAAGTACTAAAATATCCCTAAAATTGAAACATTACCAAAATAATAAAAACAAATAAATTAACCCTAATTATATCAAATCCCGAATTTCATCTATCTTTGCCCCTTCTCTAAAAGTATAGGCGGAATACGTGCGTTACAAGATGATAACCAGTAATATGTTACAAGAATAAACAAAACATCGTTGAGATGAGTTGAAAAAGGCTTTTACCATATGAAAACAAAAGCCACATGTGTAGATATACATGTGCATATTTACATATGGACGCATACACATATTTCCTTGTACTTATTACATCGTTGTCATGCGAGGCTAGTGATTAATGATTATTATTAATCATAATTTATAAATTATTAATGATTATTATGAATCATAATTTATAAATTTCAAGTTAAAGTCATATATACGAGATTCAATTATCATAAACTAATGGTTTTCAAATATAATATAATTGTTGTATATAAAAATATATAATGTGTCATTCTTGTGTCTGTATCCAACATTTTTATGAAATGTCATGTCTATACCTCATAGGTCAGACGTAAAATACAATTCTTAAACATGCATAATAGGCACAAAAGTGAGCAATCTATAACACTGACTTAATACTTTAAACGCAAAGGGCATTACATAAATATCCGTTCATGTAATTTTATTTTCTAGTAAATTCATGAGACAAGATAAGATTAAATTTCAATTCTAATAAATTTGTACAATAAAATCTAGAATCTCAAATCATTTGCGGTACAATTTTAATATGACTTACGGGATACATATTATGGAAAATGTCCATAAGAAATCCATGTGAGACAGATTGTTGGCACTAGAGATCAATTGAGGACCTAATTCCTAATATTTTTTTTAATAGTAAAAGTCCAGACAATAGTACTGAGTAAAATGTTTTAAGCATAAGAAGAAATGTCTCACCTCAAACTCAGCTTTTGGCCGGATAATGTAATTTTTGTCAACAATCCTTTGGTCACCTAGCGATAGATAGTATCTTATACCAGATTGCCGCACCTTAATCCAATCATTTATACGTGCTTCTTCACTAGCAGATGGAGGCCTCAGGTACATCTCAATAAAACTGAAAGTAAAAAGGTTTCTGAAACACTCAGTTATAACCAAAGCTTGCATAAAATGAACGAAGCAATTGAGCATCTCTATATTAACATTATCATAAGGAACTGTCAGAGCAATGGAAAACAATTTGCCAACAACTCAGTGAACTCACTTATCTCTTTGTGCTTCTTTTTCACGAAAAGTATAAGGTGAATGTCCACTTGATGAATGCTACAACAAATCAGTTAAAGAAGGATTAGGACAATGACGTTTGCTCAGTAATAGTAATGAGACACAGGTTTTACACGAAAGAAATTAACAAGGTGGGGGGGAATGTCAGTAGTACCCATCAGCAATAAAAGATAACTTGAGATAGTTAAAGAGAAACCTTTTGTTAAATAGGCAAAAGTATATCCAAAAGGTGCAAAAGTGAGAAGAACCGATTGATATGCAAGGCATACAGGAGCAACAAACTATGCTCACTCCAACTTGCTCAATTCACCTACTTATTTGAGGGGGGAAAATCAAATCACCTATCAATCTACAAGAGGAGAAAAGGAACTAAGAAATCCCCTGGAGTCCAAAAATGAAAAGCATTGCAGATTTTTTTTTTTTTTTTGGTAAAAAAAAAAAAAAACATTGCAGATTGCTGGTTGTATCAGCGTCATTGTTATGATTAGAACTTAGTGTTGGTAAATGTTACGACAAATGCAGCGAACCAAGCAACAATTACAAAACACGATAGAAAAATAAACACACCACACAAAGAACACAAAGATTTATACGTGGTTCAGCAAAGCCTACGTCTATGGTGGAGATCCGGTGAAAGTCTTCACTATGTATAAAATCAGAGATTACAAGTTTCAGCCCCTCACTCTCAATTCTGTACGAATTTCAGTGTCTCTCTCACACCCACTCCAAACCCTAAACGCCCTTATATATTGGGCTACAAGATAGTACTAATTAGGGTCCATGACCCATAAGCAAAAACGGATCAAAAAATTTCCGTTGCGACCCAGCACCAAATTCGGGCCACAACATCACAAATCTACACTTTGGCTCATATTACGCCAAGCTCCACAATCTCCAGCTACTCCTTTCGCCTCCTCTATATGCCCCTAAGGGCCTCAACAGCTGCAAGTACCAATCAAGTCCAGACAGTGTCAAAACTTGAGAGTAGGAATGACCTTAGTCATCATATCTACTGGATTCTCTGCTGTCCCAATCTTCCTCACTGCGATAGCACCCTGTGCAACCACATCTTTGATAAAGTGAAACCTGACATTAATGTGCTTGGTCCTCTCATGGAACATCTGATTTTTAATCAGATGTATGACACTCTGACTGTCGCAAAACACAACCAAATCATCCTGCTGCAAGCCTAAATTACCAACCACATATAGCTTCCTTCACTGCCTCTGTAACTGCCATGTACTCAGCTTCAGTAGTAGACAATGCAACTACGGGCTACAAAGTCGCCTTTCAACTGATCACACTCCCACAAAGAGTGAAGACATACCCTGTCAAAGACCTCCTCCAATCAAGATCTCCAGCATATTCCGAATCAACAAATCCAACAACACTACCACACGCATTGCTGCCTCTGTCATAGACTAAGCCAACATCTGCAGTGCCTCGCAAGTACCGCAATATCCACTTCACATCCTGCCAATGGACCTTCCTAGGTCTATCCATACTGTCTGGCCTAGTGCACACCATAGCATACATAAGGCTACCAACTGCACTAGCATAAGGAACACGAGACATATGCTCCACCTCCTCCTCGGTCTATGGTGACAATCATGCTGAAAGTCTAAAATGGGCAACCAATGGAGTACTCACAGGCTTTGACGCTTGCATACCAAAGCGTTCCAGCACCTTCTCAATGTATTTCCTCTGTGACAAATACAATCTACCTGCTCTTCTATCCCTGTGAATTTCCATACCCAATATCCTCTTTGCAGCACCAAGATCCTTCATCTCAAATTCACCACTAAGCTAAGCCTTCAACAAGTTGATTTCAGACATGTTCTTGCAAGCTATCAACATGTCATTAACATACAGCCACAAGTACAAATACGAACCATCTGAGAGACTCCTGTGATACACACAACTGTCAAACTTACTCCTACTGTAGCCATTCCCAACCATAAAGGTGTCAAATCGTTTGTACCACTGTCTAGGAGACTGCTTCAACCTATACAAGGACTTCTTCAGTAGGCAAACATGATCTTCCTTTCCCAAAATCTCAAACCCTTCAGGCTGATGCATATAAATCTGTTATTCCAACTCACCATGCAAGAAAGAAGTGTTGACATCAAGCTGCTCAAGCTTCAAGTCATACAAAGCAACCATAGCAAGTAACACCCGGATTGAACTATGTTTCACTACAGGATAAAACACTTCATTGAAGTCTACCCCTTCCCTCTGTGTATAGCCCTTCGCTCTGTGTATAGCCCTTCGCCACAAAGCGTGCCTTGTACCTCACATCTTCCACCCCTGGAGTTCGTTCCTTTTTCTTGAAGACCCATTTACAACCCACAATCTTCTGTCCCTTGGGCTTCTTAACTAGCTCACAAGTCTGATTCTTATGAAGAGACTCAATCTCCTCACTCATGGCAACAGACCACTATGCTAACTCTCTACCTGTGATGGCCTCATGATAAGTACACGGTACCTACTCATCAATATCCTCTGTCACACTATAAGCAACCGAATCAACATGTGATAACCCATACTTCTCAGGTGGCCTAATATGCATCATAGGCCTGTCTCTACCCACACTAGAATTCTACGACTATGCATCTCCCTCAGCCCGAAATTACACTTACTTATTAGTCGACCGATCAGGACTATCCTCTTACTGAACCTCTACATGCTCCACCTGCTTACTTACTGACACCCTGAGCTCCCCCTAAATCAACTACCTCCTTTTGCGAAGTAAGCATCGCAGACTCGTGAAGGGTCACATCCCTGCTAACAAGTATCTTCTCTCCTGAAGCCTCTGGGCACCATAATCTGTATTCCTTGACCCTAGGCTGATAACCAAGAAATATGCATTTCTTAGCCGTTCAAGCTTCCCCTCAAATTTTTTTTTTTTTCCTTTTTTTCTTAATTGGTACTCATACATACATGCCTCCACCAAGGCTCGAACCCCTGACCTCCCTTTGGGAAGTAGAAGCCTGGTACCGCTAAGCCACTGGCCTGTTGGTTTCCCCTCATTCACATGAGAATACGCTGGGCACCCAAATATTCTCAGATTACTATAACTAGCTGGAGAACCAGACCATACCTCCTCTGCAGTGTTACAGTCAATAGCAGTCGGTGGAGACTAGTTCACCAAGTAACTAGCTGTAGAAACAGCTTTAGCCCAGAACCCTTTGTCTAACGCATTGGACACCATACATCGTGCCCTCTCCAATAGTGTTCTGTTCATCCGTTCTGCAAATCCATTCTGTTGTGGAGTCTTTCTCACTGTGTAGTGCCTCACCATCCTGTGAGTCTTGCAAAACTCGTAAATCCTCCATCACAAAATTTCAAGCCATTGTTTGTCCTCAAACGCTTGACCTGTTTTCCAGTCTGCTTCTTAATCAAGGTCTTCCATTGCTTAAACGTGACAAAAGCCTCATTTTTATGCTTCAGAATGTAAACCCAAACTTTTTAAGAAAAGTTATTAATCAGTGTCATCATACATCTACTACCACCATGTGAAATAACCTGGGAGAGGACCCCAAATACCATAATAAATATAATCCACTGTACCCTTGGTCCTGTGAATTCTTGTACTGAACTTTATTCTGCACTGCTTCCCGAAGACACAATGCTCACAGAAATCCAACTTCCCAGTTTTCTGACCACCAAGCAGACCCTGCTCACTCAGAACATCCATTCCCCTCTCATTCATATGCCCAAGCCGTATATGCCACAATCTGGTAGTATCTGAATCTGGATTCGAGGACGATACAACAACTGAACCCGTGACTGTGCTACCCTGAAGAGCATATAAACCATGCTTCTTCAGTCCCTTCATCACCACAAGAGCACCCTTTGAAACCCGAATGACTCCACCTCCAGCCTTGTAAGTGCACCCGATGGAATCCAACGTACCCAGGGAAATCAAATTCTTTCTCAGTTCTGGTGCATGTCTGACATCAGTTAATGTCCTCACAATCCCATCATACATCTTGATTTGAACTGTACCGATACCTACAACCTTACACGCCGCATCATTCCCATCAGAACTTCCCCTCCATCAATAGATCGATAAGAGGTAAACCAATCCCTGTTTGGACAAGCATGAAACGAGCAATCCGAATTAAGAAGCCACTCATCACAAGAGCTGCCAACTGAAACCTTGAGAACATTACCACCATCTGAATCATTACCCACTGCAACAGCCAAACTATCAACTTCAAAGGATTTTCCCTAAAGATAGTCTTTCCTGAAGTGCCCTTCCTTGCGACAGATGTAACATCTCAGCACCTTCATTCTGTTCTTAGACTTAGACCAATTTCTGTTACCAGACCCTTCCTTTTGATTCGTTCTCCCTCTAACAACCAGCCCCTCTGTTTTTGCTTCCGTTGTGCCCCAACAAATTGGTATCAGAGCCAAAGGTGAAGGAGATCCAAAAAACACAAGAAGTTTCAACAAGTGCTACAACATGCTTCAGTTGTAGGTGGAGTCAATTGGCTTGGTTACATGGCATAAAGCTTGAGTAGTCAAGGTGGAGCAACGTATAATGTGGACAATCGGAGTTTTGCAGGAGTACCGTCAAGATTGAAGCTGCAAAAGAATTGTTCTGATCATTGTCGTAGAAGTGATGATTGGCTAGATAGAATTTGAGCCAAGGTGGAGATTGTTGGAAATTGTGTCTCAAATTATTAGGTTTCTATTTTAGGGTTGTATTCTGTTAAGAAATTTCTTGTCAATTAAGTTTTGGGTTTAAGAAATTGTAATCCTTGTTCAACAAGGAATTATGTTTGTAACTCTATAAATAGATACCTAGGTTTAGGGTTGAGACTTATGATATTGAGAGAGATGTAGTCGCATGAGGGAGTTGATGCGTAGAGGTAGTATGCTGGTTGGTAGAGTAGGAAAAACACCGGTGACACTGTTAGCGAGGAGATAGGCTCGTGGAGTGGTACATAATGAAAAGACATGTACTGTTGTCAAGGGCTTATTTGTTATTACTTATATAATGTTAGGACTTATGTGTAATTTCTGAAACTTGT